AAACTCCGGAACACTTTCCCTCAATCCTTCCACCTTGCCCCCTCTCTCCCCTCTTTCAAGTCCTGCCTGAAAACTTTCCTTTTTGACCGTGCTTAAGGCCACCTCCCCACTCCCCCCGGCTCGGAGTCAGGCTCTGCTACGGTTAAGCGCCCTGAGATGCTACCCTTCGTGGAGGGTGGTACATAAGTGCAAGCTGTTGTTGTTCTTTCAGTTTACCAACCCAATTGCCTTCCCTTTGTGGTGTGCAGCTGCTTCTTTAATGAGTCCATTGTCACTTCCTCAAACACCTTTCTTGGTAACACCCTTCCCTCTCATTCACACATGTCTCCACTCTCTGGGATAAGAAGTGCTGTCTGGCACCTATGTTTTTATTGCCCTTCACATCCTTGAACCCTTCACATTTTCTACTACTTAGTGTACTTGAAAGTTTGCTTCTATTTACTTACTCCATCCCATCACTCATCATGCATATCTCTATAAGATCACTTTTTAAGCTTCTCTTTTCAACACAGAAGAGAGGTTAGTTTATCTTATCCTCATAGCTCATCCTTCTAACATGACAGTCTTACTGCAAGAATGAATATTTGTCATCAAGTCTGAGTTTACAAATTGCCCCCAAAAAATGTTAAGGAAAAGAATCAAGTGCCCCAGTTTCTCATGTGTTTTAACAAGATCAGCAAGTTCTTGTGAATGCTTTAAATTGTGTGGTAACATAAATCGGGGCTGAGATGTTTCTGAAGCAGTCAATTCTACTGCCCAGGGTCTTCAGTTCACCTTTTTCAATGTTGTTAGAGGGTAATTGTGTGTCTGATTCCTTAATACAGAAAATAATTCCTGCATCTGTTTAATTTCAGTGAAACCTGTCATCATTTGTTCGATTTCAACTCCTCTTTCACGTTTAAACTTGGATTATACAAACCATTGTTCTGGTGACACATGGCTTCAAGTGAATAATTTTCTGCTTTTAGATAATTAACACTTAGATTTTTTAATGTTGAGACAAATTGGCCATTAAATAAAATGTACTTGACCTCTTTAAAAGTTAACATCCATTCCATGACTAATGACATTCCTAATGTTTCAGAAATAAAGACAGAAAAGAATATTAACAAAGGAGCAGTTTACATCAATCAATAAAATATTTATATTTTACCATTAGACTTGTACAGTTAACAACTGATACATTTTAGTGCTTGTCTAAATTAATGTTATACATTTTCACTTCATCACCATTACCTGAATTCTATATCCGTGATATATTACATTTTGGATTGTATGCTTTTAATGATTTCCAGCAAAATTACTTACAGCCAATTCACTTTACAGTATATTCTGTGAAGTGTTTTGAAACATCTGGAAGATGTGATAAGGCACTATATCAAATGCAAGGATTATATGTTAAATGATGGTTTGACCTCGACTTCAAGATCCTCATTGTCGTGTTCAAATTTCTTCACTCTCTGGCACCTCCCTACCTCTCCGACCTCCTCACTCCGCAGTCCACCACCCAGCTTCTCTGCTTGATTGGCACCTGCCTCCTGCTCGTCCTTCGCACCCTCTGCCCCACCATCGGAGGTCACACTTTCAGCCACTACGCCCCGAGACGCTGGAACACTCTCCCTCAATTGCTCCACCTTGCCCCCCCTCTCCCCTTTTCAAGTCCTGCCTGAAAACCATCCTCTTCGACCGTGCTTACGGCCACCTCCCTCCCCCACCCCCGGCTCGGAGTCAGGCTCCGCCATTGTTAAGCACACTCTGACACGCTACCCTGAGTGGAGGGCACTATATAAATGCAAATTGTTGTAGCAAACTCTAAACAAAATTTTGCTGTAATGTAATGTAAATATATCAGCCTAGCCTTGTTGGTAGCTCTTTTGGCTCTGAATCAGAAGGTTGTGGATTCAAGCTCCATGTCAGAACTTTGAACTCACAGTGCAGTATGCCGGTTTAGGTCCCAAGGTCCTGTCTGCCTGTTCAGGTAGGAGTTAAAAGAGTTGCATAGGGCACTATACAAAACCCAAAGGAATTTTGTCCTTTTGTCCTGTCCAACAATTTGATTGTCAAGTTCATCTACAAGATACAGTGAGCTCACTTTACTTTAATATAATATTGTTACTAATATATTATTTTTTGCAGTAAATCCTTTGAAGTGCTTTGAAACATCTTCTCCGTGTGAAAAGCACCATGTGAAATGCAAGGATCAATTTTTATTTAAGCACTTTAAGACATACATTTATAGTGCTAGATCAACACAAATGTTATATGTGTGTGCGTGCGTGTGATTATCAACGTTATTTAATTCTTAAATAAGGTCTTATATAAAATATCAAAAAAAATTATTGAAAATCACCTAATTTTTTGCTGAATTATAGCCTTCAGCTCACTTTCTTGTATTTGATAGACAATGTTTTTATTTCTTTTGTTGGTGACAGTTGTCAAGTTAGGCAGCATGGGAAATTAATGCCAGCAGTTATTGGCATACAACATATAAGGAAATGAGACTTGGATGAGGAAGCAGTCAAGATACATTAGAATATACAGCACAGAAACAGGCCATTCGGCCCAACTGGTCTATGCCGGTGTTTATGATCCACATGAGCCTCCTCTATCCTTCCTCAACTAAGCCTTCAAGCATATCCTTCTATTCCTTTCTCCCTCATGTACCTATCTATCTTTCCCTTAAATACATCTATGCTATTTGCCTCAACAACTCCTTGTGGTGGCATGTTCCACATTCGCACTACTCTCTGTGTGAAGAAATGTCTTCTACTTCCCTATTTGATCTATTTGTGACTATTTTATATTGATGGCCCTGGTTTTGGTCTTCCCCCACACATGGAAACATCTTCCCTTTGTCTACCCTTTCAAAACCTTTATCATTTCAAAGACCTCTATCAGGTCAAGAGAAAAGAATCCAATTATGTTCACCCTTTCCTGATAGGTATAATCTCTCAGTTCTGGGACCATCCTTGGGAATCTCATTTGCACCCCCTACAGTGCCTCTACACCCCTTCTATAACGTGGGGACCAGAACTGCACACAGTATTCTAAGTGTGGTCTAACCAAGGTTCTGTAGAGGTTTACCATAACTTCCCTGCTTTTCATTTCTATCCCTCTAGAAATAAACCTAAATGTCTGGTTTGCTTTTTTAATGGCTGTATTAACCTGGGTTGCAACTTTTAGTGAATTGTGTATGTGTACCCCTAGGTCCCTTTGCTCCTCTATTCCATTTAGGTTTTTATTTTCCAGGATGTATATGACTTCCTTATTCCTTCTACCAAAATGTACCACCTCACACTTTTCTACATTGAAATGCATTTGCCATTTAAATGCCCATTCAGCAAGTTTATTAATGTCTTGCTGTAATGTGTTGCAGTCCTCCTCTGTATTAACTACTCCCCCCAATTTGGTGACGTCCGCAAATTTTGAAATTATACTGCTGATTCCTGAATCCAAATCATTAATGTATATTGTAAACAACAGTGGTACCAATACCGATCTTTGTGGAACACCACTGCCCACCCCCTGCCAGTCTGAGTAACTACCCTAAAATGAACCGAATAAGCATTTTAATATTCTTTTAGTCAGAGTAGCATCTGTGAAAATGTTCTGCATTTATTTTTCCAGGAAACATGATCTCTGTTCATGATTTTTTTTATTCAGTTATGCGTCAGTGGTTTGAAACTAGATCACTTTTTGGAAAGGCAGATCTGACAGCTGAATTCACTTTACATTGACATTTACATTACAGTAAATGACTACTTTTTTTATGATTGGTTTATACTGCAAATGTCTTGAAGAACAATCCGTTTGGGATTGCAGCTTCACAAATAACTCCTTGGAGAAAGAAGCTCACTTGTATTTAAAACTGTTGTGTGGCACACGGGAGAGTTGGGTGTGTGGTACAGAAAAACTGTTCAATGGGATCCCTTTCACCACAGCAAGAACTGGGAAATAATGTAGGCAAACTCGGAGTAGTGAGCCTTAGAAATATCAAAATAACCAGGCTTTAATAAGTGTTAAATATCAACACTCGTTAAATATCATCCTGTCCACTCCTTTTGCTAAACTGCCTCCGGTCTGCACCCCGGCCCCTGCCCGGCAGTCGGGCCTTCAGTTTCTCTGCCCCCATCCTTTGGAACTCCATCCGATATTCCCTTTGCCTCACTCCCTCTATTCCTTGCTTCCTACAAGGCACGTCTCAAGACCCTACTCTTTGCACACGCCTTCAGCCACCCTCGTACCCTCCCTGCCCTCCACCATCTCTGATCCCAACCACCCCCCACCATTGCTTGGGTCCAAATCTCTGACTGTCCAGGACCTTGGGATATCCTCCTGATGTGAATGGCACAATACAAATGTAATTTCAAATGTATTGTTACTTCAACAGCATCTCTATTGTACGAAAGGCAAAAAATTACAAAAGAAAGCAAAATTACAAAAGTCTGGACATACACTTGGGTGGAGGGAAAAGCATTTTTTTTCTATTTATTGATTCGGAATTTGAACCTGCTGGAAACTTTTATAAATCATACAATGAATGCAATATGAATACAGTGAAAGTCTTACTCATTTTGTAAGACTGTATTCTGAAATTCTCTTGCTGTGGCATGTGCATGTGGAGTCCTGTAGCTCAGTGGTTAGAGCACTCGCTTTGCAAGCGAGAGACCTGAGTTCAATTCCAGGCAGAGGGCGAAACCTTGGGCAAGTTTCCTTACTCCACACGACTAATAATAATCCCTCCAAAAAACAATAATAAAATTGGTCATTTTCAATCTACGACTGTTTGTGGGATATTGCTGTGCGTAATTGGCTGCTGCGTTCGCCAACAAATATACAGTCAATTCACTTTACAGTGTATTCTGTGAAGCATTTTGGGATGTCTAGAAGATGCGAAAAGCACTATATCAAATGCAAGGATTATTATTATATCTTTTAATATTGAAACCTTTCAAATTGTCTTGTTTCTTAAACAATCTGTTTCTTTTGTATTCTGATAGGTGCTGGAGATACAGAATTTATATGTCCTCTGAATCATTTTGACTGTGTTGGGACAAAAAGATGTATTCACCTCAGCAAACTCTGCAACGGGATAAATGACTGTCTGGATGGGCTTGATGAAGGGTCTCACTGTCGAGGTAAGTTTCGATGAGGTTTGACACCAAAGTTAGTATGCAATTTGCTCTATTTAAGCCAACACATTGGAAAGACTGTACACTTATATAATTTAATCACATGAGCAGAATGCTAAAATAATAAAGGCCTCGCTAGTGTGGAACTAGCGACATCATTAAAGTCATTTGGAATTGACATTTAAAACCTTCTTGGGGCTCTCAAAAGTTAGCAATATGTTTAACTACACCGATGCATTTTGTTCAGGTGGAATAACAGGGAGCAAAATGCGATAATACAACAACAACGCCAACTTGCATTTACATCCAAGTAGCATCCAAGAACGAACCTTGGAGACAAGTATAAATTATTCTTCCCTCCTGGGCATTGGGACAGTCAGGATCTAACGCCAGTATTAGTGTCATAGTGGCCCAAACATGGCTTGTTACAACAGATTTTGGAGCCATCCAAGTATACATGAGGTAACCCTCACAGAAAAATCCTTGTAACAGAGATCTCCAAAAGTTGTTAGATTGATTGAGTCTAGCTGAGCATGCACTCAATAGAGCACAAATGTAGCAAGTATGGCTACAATAATCTTAATAATTCAATCCTTTTATTGAAACAGTTCAATGTATTTATGAACATAATTACACTATGGATTTTCATTCAGGTATTATTAAAGACAATCTTTTTTTATCAGTATACAATATCCATTTTTTTGGATAGATTGTAGGATTTGTATGAATATATTAACCTTGTTCTTAGACTGAAAACTATTTTGAGTTGTGTTTGGGGAGGGTGCGGGGGTCGGGGAGAGAGACGACAACTTTCTCCTTCTGAAATCACATAACTTTTGCTGAGCAGCTTGGTAGGATTTTATAAAGCGGCCCGAACACCTGAGTTTCAATCAGCAGTTGTCTGAATTTCAAGACTGCTGGCTTGAAATTATAATTAAGACCACCGTATGTTTCTACTCGTCTGTTATTATGAGACTTCCAAAAGTCAGTCAGTTATTGTAACTGACACACGATTTTCACGTATGCAATTATTATAATTTATGTTTTCTACAGCTAAAAATTACAGCAATGCCTTCAAAGTATGCTCTTGTGAATAAAAGGGCATAGAGATTAATTAAAGAATATTTAAAAATATACTGCAGTGTACTACTTTCTTTAGTTAGCACAATAAACTCACCTCCCCCACTTCATATGTCTATGCTTTACCTGCGATTGAGAGAACAACACAGCTACAAATATGGAAGTGCCAATAGCATCCAATATAGACAACATTTTAACACATCGGTATTAGTTCTCCCAAGTAACACATTTACTCAGATTCAGGTGATAAGCTGTGAATTAACCTAATATGCTTATGTGTCTATTTTCTGTTTATGGAACCTTTTCCAACTTAAATGGTTGTGGAAATATATCAGAAAAGAGGATGTTCATAAAAAATTTAGAAAAGATTGGTGTATGATTAAGCCATATCTTATTCTACACTTAGCATTCTCAAACCTGTTTTCATTTTTGAGTTGAATATTTAATTTCTTCAACTACAAAACAATTTAGATTGCATTACTTTTCAAATATTAAAGTTAATGAGAATTCTGGTAGTCTCAAGAAAGGTAAGTCAAAGACATAAATTGACAGAAATACGCCTTTCTAAATATACTGACACCTATTTGTACTGTAACACATATCTAGATTAAATATGATATTTTAATAGAAGATTGTCAGACCTAAAGGTATGTCTACTGCTTGGGTTAATTTAGTCCTCATACATTTTAGGTTGTGTATCCAAGTAATCCATAGAGCAACAAAAAGATCAATTTTTCTGCCCTTAATCGAGAAGTTGGCTGGCATCGTCAGACAGGGGCCTAAAACACAAATGTAAATCCCACATGAAGCAGAAATAGTTTCGTAATTTGAACCTGCTGGAAACTAGGAATATTTCCAGTTGCCATTTAGTGTTGAATCTATTTGTGATGTGCAGTGGAAAGAACACAGATTGGGAGCGTAGCAATGTACAGGAATGGAAAGGACCATTGTGGTCCAGCCAAATAGCTGTAGAGTATCTCATCATTGGTTTTTCATGCCCTTCAATTACGCTTTTAAGGTGCTGAGTGCTGGCCAGATGAGTTATATTGGGAAAGAGGGCGAAATTACATTGGAGGAAATGCTGGTGTGGCTAGGCATCTCCTAAGGGGTAGTTTTGATTTGACCAATCTGTTTTCTTGGGTTTTAAGCCATCTCTATTGCAGAACATTGGAGCAATATAAAAGGGTTCTTTGCTTAGAAAATTTGGTAGCAAAACAAAATATATGTACTGTGAGTGATTTAAAAATTGCATAATACTGTTCTAGCTGCTCCAAGATGCTGCACCGAATGAAGGGCACTATATAAATGCAAGTTGTGGTTGTTCTGGCTGCACTGTACTTCTAAGAAAGCTAGTAATAAATATAGTAGAGGAGCAAACTATTTCAATGTAGTTTTACAGTGACAATTCATACTTTAGTGCTTTGGTACCTATGGTCTGTGGCTGTGCATTTCACTTACTTCAACGCCATGCTGAGATTAGAACAAGCAGTTGTTATCATGTGGAGCACCTCCACATGAGGGAAAGTAGTAGCTGAATGGCATTTAATGTAGTAGCCTGATCAATAGAGTTGTGTGGACTACCAGACCTCTGGATCAAATATGTTACATTAATTTCTGTTTTTCCTACGAGATACTAACTGCAAGTGACACAACTACATGTTAAGTGTAATAAATGATGCATTCTTTGTCTTACTAGAATAACTTATGAATCATAATAATCTCTCTAAAAAAAGATAATAATTTGGTCACTCAATCCATGACTATTTGTGGGACACTGCTGTGCGCAATTGGCTGCCATGTTTCACCCACAAAATATATAGTCAATTCACGTTACAGTATATCCTGTGAAGCGCTTTGAGGTGTCGCGAAGACGTGACAACACGCTATATCAAATGTAAGGTTTAGTATTATTATTATTATTATCTCGCTCATTATGCAATGTGGAACATAATAGTTAAAGCGATTTTGGGATGCCACTGGGAGCATTTGGGGAGAACAAGTTTGCAGGGCTATGGGGAGAGAGCGGGGGAGGGGGATTGAACTGAATAGCTCTTTTCAAAAGTTGGCACAGACACGGTGGGCTGAATGGCCTCCTTCTGTGCTATTCTATGATTCTATGATATCTTAGATTGAGTTGAATTAAATTACTGTTGTAATTCTATGACACAGATGTTGGAATTTGCTATGAAGAGTCAATACTTTGTATACGCAGGCTATTCAAGACTTTTTTTCACAACTGAAGACTCTGATGGAATTCATACCCTTACCATGTCTTTGGTAATGCAATTTTCGTACCATGTAATTTTTTTAATTTGCCAATTTTGTTTAACTCTTTACTGACTGAATTTTACATGGAATCCTGAGACCAATATTTCATTGTAAATTGTTATTAAAAAGGTGGGATCTGGATACCAGATAACTGAAGGTTTAACTCTGGAATATATCTTCATTCAATAGTGCCGTTTGGCAAATCTTCGCTGTTCTCTTAAACCTTAATCGTTCCAATGGAATGAGCTTCAGACAATATTATTTTTAAAAAATGATTAGTTCATTCCCAGATTTGCATGCAAAAGATGGGAAATAAATGTTATGGAAATCCCCTGGTTCTGTTATGCAATTGATACATACAATAGGTCAGTCACACCTCTGAGGGCTGGGATCAAAAGCAGCCCACAATGATGGGCTTGGAGGGAGAAACTGCCTCCTCTGCTGTCTGGCAGCTGTAAAAATGCAACACTAAAGTGAATTGGACACTCTGAATGCAGTTGCTAATGGGCCCAATTCAACAGCAACAAAACTGTCCCCAGTCCTGCACTTTATCAGCAATCAGACACAGGCAACAGATAATTATGGCTGTTGTTGAAAATGTTCAAAAACAAGTTGCCTTGGTGCAATAGGAAGTGTGAGGCTGCTGTAGAGAATGAGAGGTGTCTTCAGAGCACGAAAGGCAGCTGTAGCACAATACATCTGCAACCGAGTGTCTATACAGTCTGACATTTAGTTTCCAGAGCACTAAAGGTTCGCTCCTAGGTTCTGGTGACCCTCACCTTGATTAGTACAAATCCAATACAGAATTTGTAAAGTGCCTTTCACGTTGGAAGAACCCAAGGCGCTGAACCCTCTGATCGGGTCAAAACCCCATCAAGAAATATAAATGTTGATTTACACATTTTATGGGTTTAAAAGTGTGTCCGCCCAGTTAATTTGAGGTACTATCTCTCCGTCAGGACCCCACCGCACACATTTGATAAAGGGCACCTCAGGTACACTGAACGTGTCAAACGCGTGAGTGAAGAGGACACATCAAAGCAAGTGTGGTTTGGCAAACTTGCGGATGGCAAAAAGACAAAAGGGTCGAGACAATGATTCAAGGACACCTCAGTGATAGTTGGCAAAAATGCTCAATTGACCTAGATATACGACGAGGAGTTGCCAACTCATGGTACAAATTGGAACACAGCAATCCATCATGAAATGGAAAGTTTTGAATAGTGACTCACCCCTGAAGAGAAGCAGAATGAGAGCAGCGAAAGCAATGACAACATTATTGGGCCAGAATCAGCAATAATAACTTTTTGTTTGCATTTGACATGGAAAAGGAGCTATTTCTGCTTTGGACATTGAAATGACAGGAGGACACATTAAATAAACTGATTCTTAGACTCAGGACATCTTCTGGATTCTCTTTTTAATGGGACAACTATCAATAAAGACTACCAAACAGATTTCCTTATTCCAAAATAACTTATTAAATGAAACATGTAACAAGGAGTACAGAGGATGATAATATGGGCACACTATTGCTAAGTAGAAGACTTGGATACATGCCTGTGATGGCTATTTGAAAGAGAAATCCAATTAGTTCCACTCCCCCGAATAGCCCTGCAAATTTTCCACTTTAAGTACGTATCCAATTCACTTTTGAA